GTATGAAAAAAGATATAGTGAAACTGCACGATTATGCGGACAAAATCTTTTAGAAGGAGTAGGGAATTGCCCAAAAGTTACATGGCTTTGTTTCCTGCGATGAAAATACACCATCGAGTGAAGTTGACGAGGAAAATGCAAATTTTTTCTTTCTTATGCTAGAAGCTCCTTTTGAAATAAACGGACGACTTTGAATGTCCTAACAAACACTTTTCGATACGGCTTAGGAATCCGACCTGCAGGATGTCAAGCTGTGTTCGTTTTTATGCTTAAACAATGCTGCAAGAAGATTGCGCAAACGTAGCAATGGGTTTTTGATCGTAAATGGCTGCTGTCATCGTACGATTTTTTGTTTCTGGCTTTTTAGTGATTTATTTCAGCAGGCAGAAAACTCATTTAATAACCCGAAAAATTCTCCATTTGTGCCACAATGCCAAACAAACTGATAATTTGTGGGTCCAAGCGTATAAGCGTTCTGCTTATGGTAGGGACCATAAATTCTGAAATAGAAAAATGCAGAAGACATTTTTGATTTTGAAAAAATACACTTTTCACTTTTTTGTTACTGACTAAGAAATCAGTTAAAGGAGACGGTTTGCATCACACTTGTCGTGAGGTAAAATTGATACCCAGAAAACTCTTGATTTTCTATTAAGGATTCTAAGAAATGAAAAGTTATGCATTGGTATTGCCGTTTTAATTGTTTAGCAGTTTTAAACATAACATCAAACAATTTCTTATATGATTATTCTTCAGATGGTTGGAGGATCTCCTCGATCGCATGTCTCGTCAAGTCCGCATAAGACTGAAGTCAGCAAAAATGTCTCATCAGGAAACAGAAGAAAAAATCAAGAGACTGTTAAGCCGCATGGAAGAGCTACAGAATTCTCAGAAACGTATATTTGATGAACTTAGTGAGCATCAGTCGAAAATATTTGAAGACATCCTCGAGAAGCTAGCTTTGCACTTTAAATCGGAGGGAACTATCTCGAGTTTCTGCGACTGGTCTGAAGAAGAGGTCCCCAAACCCCTTGGGACATGGCGGGAAACAAAGAACGAGGTGTTAAAGTGCGTCTCAGAGAGAACACACCAATTTGTTCAGCACTGGGAAAACGAAGAGAACGAATTCGACAGAGCTCGAGTGTCATTGATCCAACATTGTTGCAAAAAGTATGATATAATGGAGGAAGAAATGCGCGAAGTAGCAGAAGATTTTTTTATCGTCGACGAGGTGGAGGGCGATCTTCCACAGGATGAAGGTGGACAAAATTTGAAACGATCTAGAGTAAGAAGAAGATTACAAACAAGTACTGCTCCGCCATGGCTTCGGCAAGGATTGGCATCAGTGGTGGTAGGGTCTCCACTTGGTATCCTCGGAACCAAACTTAAAAGGAAACTCCACTACAAAACCAAACTGGACACGTTCCGCGATGATCCATGTGCCTACATGTCAAAGCGATCACAGAAATGCCTCAAAGTTATTTCTACTCGAGACCGCTTGCTTCCGTTCATCAACGAACAACTAGAAGACGCCGTACTGTACCTAAGGCGGATCAAGGAGAAGATTCCTAAGCTGAGAGAAGGTGACGAGCTCATCTATCAACGGCTACTTGAAGACGAGAGAGGCAGTACTGAGATTCGGAAGATCTACGAGCCTTTAAACAACGAGCTGGAATCTCTGAGACGCGAAATAACCGTGTACACTCTGCGAGAGATCAAGCAGTCTGATTTCGCAAGAGAAGAGTTAGAGTGCGATTTTGGAAATTTTGATTCTGTCATTGGACGAGGCAGCTTCTCAACAGTGTTTAGAGGCGTTCTTCATCGCAAAGGATCGCCAGAGATCATGGTGGCTATCAAGATGTACAGTGACTTGCTTACCACTAACAATGTGTGGCATTTTGTTGACGAGGAACGTGCTTTAAGGTATGGATATCAAAAGACCATTTTCTTTCATACAGTTGTGTTCATTTGACAGATCGACTGTAATTCGTGGTGTCCTGCATCAGATTTTGCATGCTGCCTAGAGTCGGAAATACTATAGTTTGCTACACATGCGATTGAAAAACGATTGTGTCCTTGCTGCTTATAAGTTTAATAAGAAATGAGCCTCTTATCTTTGTCTTAGAAAACTGCGCCATCCAAACATTGTGGGTTTTTACGGAACCAATTTGCACCACGGCCCCAACGGCACCAAAGTGATGATCGTCCTCGAGCTTTGCAGTTGTTCTCTCAGATATCGAGTACATACCCATCCCGAGGATTCACCCGCTCGATCGTCGAACGACACAGTCAAGAAGAAAGTGTTATCATGGGCACAACATATCCTAGAGGCTTTGCATTATATCCACTCAGAAGGATTCGTTCACCGAGATTTAAAACTGGAAAATCTACTGGTAAATGTGTATTGAAGTTGAACTTTGATTTCTTAAGTTCTCTGTTCAGTCGTCAGTTACTTTTTTCAAACGACATGTATAGGGCGATTTTCCATCCTCAGGGAAGCGTA